GGCCCTTTAATAGACCCCAAGATACTTAAACTCCTCCACTTGAGGTAAAGTTCTCGATTCACCAGTCAGTCTACGTTCCTCCCCTCACCTATGGTCATGAGCTTTGGGTAATGACTGAAAGGACAAGATTGCTGATACAAGTGAAATCTGCAGGGTGGCTGGGCACTCCCTTAGAGATAGGGTGAGGAGCTCTGTCACATGAGAGAAGCTCAGAGTAGAGCCGTTGCTCCTCCATGTCGTGAGGAGTCAGCTGAGGTGGTTCAGGCATCTGTTCCGGATGCCTCCTGGTCGCCTTCCTCGGGAGGTGTTCCAGGCATGTCCCACAGGAAGGAGGCTCCGGGGAAGACCCAGGACACGCTGGAGGGACTGTGTCTCTCGACTGGCCTGGGAATGCCTTGGGGTCCTCATGGAGAAGCTGGAGGAAGTGGCTGGGGGAAGGAAGTCTGGGAGTCCCTGCTTAGACTGCTGCCCCGTGACCTGGCCCTGGATAAGTGGAAGAAAATGGATGGATGGGCCCTTTAATAATCGTTTATATTGGCTCTTATTTCAGTTATTCTTATATTTTAAACTTCAAATTAACACAGTTTTACTTCTCTTCACTTTTACACAACTACATTTTTTCATAAATAGTGTATACCAAAATACATTAATGCATGTTTTCAGGCTTGCAATGTTGATATTGTGAAATTATTCTGATTTAAAGCACTTAATAGTAGACTAAAAGTGAGTAGTTAACATGTGACTTGCCTGGCGAGTCAGTCCCTCCCATTCAAATGCAGAAGGGCCTGTATTCAGTAGGGCTGGGTATCATTAAGAAGGTGCCAATACGATGCATTCCTCAATACATAAGCCACGATACGATACATTTTTCAGTACAGTGCACTTTCAGTTCAATACGATTCGATGCGATAGATTTCAGATTGATTTGATATGGTTCAGTGAAAAACAAAGGCTAAACCATGACTGTGATACTAAGTCAACTAAGTTTGTGCAAAGTGAACATGAAAAACACCCATTTTACTCAAAACAGTGAGTAAAATACTAGCGATATAGCGATATATATCGATACAGGAGCCCACGATATCGAGAGGGTATCATCAAATTAAACGATATGACTAATAATACAAGATTACTCAAACATGTGTGAATGAAACAAAACATGACTCCAGGTTACGTTTTTGAGAAAGTAGCAGCATTCTAACATGCCTAAAATCTCACAGGAGTTAGTTTTGTGTAATATAGAACCTTTAAAACATATACGGTTGGTCAGGAGACTATTTGACAGCAGTCACTGACAATACAGCTATTTTGAAATGTGACTTTTGGCCTTATCATATCTGGCCTTTTATTGTTTTATCCACTTTTCCTTAAGATTGCCACAGCAACAACTAAACAATAACTCACAAAAGCTTGTTTTCTAGGCTCAGAAGCTCTTCCCTGTCTATCTTTCAGCGCAGAAAATAAAAGAATGTGATTTATATGATATGTGATCGCTATATAAAGACAGACTAACAAAGACATTGTGCAGTCCACTATCAGTTGTGTGTTGACGCCACAAGGTCCAGAGCTGTCAAAAGTATCTGACCCCCATCTCTCATGATAACACACGAAGCAGCATACACACACGCACACACGCAAACCCACACAGTCTCATACACACACACACACAGGGGGTAGGAGGAGCTGTAGACAGTGGATAGAGATCAAATGCGTGTTCAAACAGGATTGGCAAAAAGAACAATGTCACCTAGGCAACGCTGAATCCTCCCATTCCCTGTCAGTGAATAATGTAAGACTTGTTTGGAGTGAAAAAGTAGGAAGGCACAATGAAATATTAAAGTGAATGCCATTTGATCAGTAGATTTGGATTTGTGTAATAGTAATGACAAACTGCAGCCTGACAAAGTGCCTCTCCAGAGAGTGACGGGGCAGGTGGAAATGGAATAAATAAAATATATCATCTGTACTTTACTAAAAGAGAAATGCAGGAATAAACTTTTACGAGATTTCGTAAAGTTTTTGATAGTTTGGCATAAATGCACTGCAGAGTGAGAATGGCTCAGGGCAGGTGAGTCCAAACTTTTTTTGCTGTATATTGAAATATTATATAAGCAGAGGACCACAGACCGGTGTCAATACAGATGGTATTTTTAATAAGGCTTGTAATTTTAGATCTATATCACCATATAATGTGATGCTGTTGAGGCAGACGTTGATATAGAATTATTTAAGTATGTGTAGTAAAAAGTTCTGCCTTTGATCAGTTGGGCCAATTCAGCAGGGGGACTGAGGGCCAACATAAATTGGTCTGAATGCCGCATTTGGCCCCGGGGCCGTAGAATGGACAGCCCTGGCTCGGGTTAGGTTGGAGCACAGATGAAAGACAACATGGCCATAGCCTCAGAGCCCTGTCTACAACTGTGGTGAGATGCTGTATTTTTACTCTTACCTCCATTAAAATGTCTCAACAATTCATCTTAATGGTGTGCTATAGCATTTGTGGGGAGGGTCCGCCACCCGCTTGTCTCTACAGAGCAAAAAACAAACTTTAAAATGAGTTTTCTTACTGTGAGTAATGAAGAGTTCAATGCCACACTGTGTAACATTCCAGACAAAGCAATAGCATCTCCAAAAAGACAGGTGGTGTAAAAATTTCCTTTGGGGATTTCTAAGTTTGACCTTGGCTCTACTGTATCTTCAACCAGAGGTGGGACCGAGTCATTGTTTTGCAAGTCTGAAGTTATTCTCAAGTCTCCGACCTCAAGGCCGAGTCATGTCCAAGTCAAAGTCACGCAAGTCCAAATAGAGTCTCGAGTCACTGGCCCATAAATCCAAGTCAAATCCAAGTCGTCTGCTTTGAGCTTCAAGGCATTTCAAATCTTTAAACCAAAGTACCAAAATTAGCTTAGATTTTTGCAGTTTATATGAATTTTTAATTAAATTGAATTTAATTGTAGTTCCCGCTGTATTGTACTGTATACTACTGTATTGTACTGTATATTATTGTAGTACTTTTGAGTATCACAGTACTTCAGTTCCAACCAAAATAACAAACAGAAGTGGGAGGGACACGTTCCAATTTGTTCCTGTAAAATTCAGCACCGCATGTATCAATTGTAAAGAGAAACGTAAAAACATATTTTTTTAGGAGAAGCGTCAAGTCTTCTCAAGTCACAGGCCTAAAGTTTGAGTCAAGTCCCAAGTCACTGACCTTCAATTCCGAGTCAAGTCCCAAGTCTTAGTCCAAGTCATGTCTCAAGTCCTAAAAACTGTGACTCAAGTCTGACTCGAGTCCAAGTCATGAGTTGCAAGTCCCACCTCTTCCTTCAACCATAGAAGACCTTTAAACTACTGTTAAAATGTATATGTTATCGATATGTTTTGATATTTTGATTTTGCTCCATTCTTCAAGCCTTGACTATAGACCAACTTCTTTGCTTAAAAATGAAAGTTCAGCCACTAAACTCTACTCAAGCTAAATACAATCTCCACCCACAGAGCTGCAGAGATGGTCTTTGGTCATAAAATCAAAGTGTGAAGTAAGAAATGGGCTCGTGTTCAAAAAGTGCTCGACCTTTTCCTCTCCTTTGTTTTATGGTGGTGCTGCATATTTCTCCTCCTCCAAAGGAATCACAGAGAATCAGAGCTTTGATGTGAGGGGCCAAAGCTGCAGTTTGGGAAACCACAATGCTGAGCAAGCAGAATAAGCACTGACCAACAGTACAAATAACATTTAATCTGCATACAAAAATATACTTTTTGCATCATAAAGACTCACTTGTCAATGGAAAAATATATTTGAAGTACAAAAAGAGAAAGAAAGTTTGTTTAAATAACTACAGACATTATTATTTGCGACCCAAGATCTATACAAGCTTTAAAATGGATAACAATATCAGTTACTTTTGCTGTATATGCAGTAAAATAACATAATTCTGAATATTCTTGTAATATCTGAAAGGAAGCTGCATCATAAACATATTTCTTTCTATCAAGCTTTAAATCATTTCTGTCATTTGCATACTGCAATAGATACTTTCTGATGTTCTGTGTACAGATGTATGCATCGTTTTCATAATATAATATAATAATACTGTGTGTCCATTAGTGATGGATGATACCAGCAGTTTTTGTTTTGATCTGATACCATGTAGTATATGGCAAGTACATGATATTGATCAGATTCCAATAAGTTCTGTATTAAAATGCCTTAAATTCCCTATACTACAGAGCAGAGGTCATCAAACTCCAGCCTGCCACAGCCCTTTGACCGTCACCTCCACTTGAACTGGCCCTATGAGGCAATCCTCAAAAGTTGTCATGACCAGTTTTTTTTAAATTACTTTTTGGTAAATAATAACACATCTACATTTTGTATTTTGTTGATTTTTTTCAGTGAAAAGTGATATTTATATGAAGTATTTATATTTATATTTAAATAATTAAATGACGTATTTACATTTGACGCCAAATTTTCATCACCTGACAAGCTTGAGATCAAACGGTGATGAGTACTGTAGTGCAGTTAGGGACAGCAAAATATCGAGTGTTAAAATGCGAAAATTTGACAGAGAGTGCCTCGTTTTCAAAGAACAGTGGACAACCGATTATTTTTTGTTCAGTGTAAGGACCGTGCAGTTTGTCTGACATGCAAAGAAAGTGTAGCTGTTTTCAGAGAAGATAATCTGCACTGTCAGGGTCATACAACTCGACCCCGACCCCCATCACAGTCAGAAGCAAAAAAAGTTTGGTGACCCCTGCTATAGAGTTTTACTTTTCTTTACCTTCTTTTTACTGTTACTATCTTTGCTCCACCACAGCATGAAATTACCAGATAAACTAAAATATAATCAATGTATTTGAAAAAAATGACTGTTTTTCTTTCTTAAAAAATGCATTTTTAGGTAATTCTTTCTTTTGAGTACCTCTGTTAGTATCGATATTTCAGTATTTGGTGTTCATCCTCCCATCACTAATGTCCATATCATCAAAGTGCTGCCTTACTTTCAATCCTGTATTCTGATTCAGGCTCTGAGCAAGGCCTCCACTGAGAAGGGTAAAGGTTTCACAGTGGGGCGTGCGGAGACTGAAGTGCTCCCGGGGGCCTTCACTACGTCCACCCGGGGCCCCGTATGATCAGCAGGGGGCGCTCCATTACCATTACCATTGCTACTACCGCTACTACTGCTCCTCTCCAGCTCTGTCAGGGGCGAGGAATCAAACCCGCGACCCTCTGATCCGCCACGGGGGCAACTGCAGTCTGTAAGCGAAGCCGATACAGCCGCACCATCTGTACCTGGTGTCGAAATGTGATGATTTTTCAGTCTTTGCTCTGTCAAATCCATCAGATCTGGTTGTTTTTCCTCTTTTGAGCCACAGTGTTTCTTCTCTGTCCTTTCATGCAGATCTTTATAGCTTTGGTGTATCGCTATATAGTCACTCGTCCCTCCGAAAGGCCTGCATTTTCCATACAGTACATGATATAACTGAAAATCACATTCATAAAGTGGTTTGTACTTGAAAACAGGCACAAAAGACGGCCCTTCGACGAACTCCTTGTTGAGAATACAGCACAGGTTGGCGGAGATGGGCAGAGGCGGAGGAGGCGGGAGGGGGGGTGATAACGATGGCATGTCCTGGTTGCCGTGGAGATTGTTTTGAAGAGTGTTTTGTTGTAGTTCACGTTCCAGCATCACGTTTTCCAGTTCTTTGTCGGCGAAGGCTCTCCTCTTCCTCATGCGAGCGCTGACCGAGGGGCAAGGGAACGACAGAGGTAAGTGCGGTTTGGACCAGCAGGGGGAGTCGTTGTGCGGGGGGGTTGTGGGTTTGAGACCTGGGAAAGAATGAAATGTGATTATGCTGACCAAAGACCAACGCCTAGTTTAGAGAATTGAACTGAATATACAGATTTTAAATACATTTCAGATTTGTATTTATGTATTATTATTTGAACTACAATTACAATTACATCTACGTATTTTTATTACATTGTATTGATATTTTCTTAATTTTCTTAATATTGTGTTCAACTTGTGCTTTTTACAAACTGTCTGCACTGAAGTGTTCACAAATATTGATTTTTGTAGTCTTCAAAGACATGGGTTCAGAGTAATTCAACTTTAGCACAGTTGCCATAACAATTATCAACTCAAAACGCAATTTTCTATCTTTAATGGTGGTCAAAAGCGCTCAAAATGTCAAAATATCTTATAAATAAAACTCACTTTCTTTTATCCATATTTCCTCCTTTTTAAGCACAGAGCTGTTCATAAATCAGGCTTAAGTGCTGCTGTGTATTATTTTAATTACTCACATGGTTAGCTCTGTCATTATTGCTTTACACAGTGAAGCTAAGAGGTCTATAAAGAAAACAATGGCACTTGTAGGATTTTGAACACAAGCCAGTAGATATTAATACACATTATGTTGTGTATGTAATAACATCCAAAAAGCAGCAGACCAACGAGTGCTTTGTGAGTGGAGTATTATGAATTACTGTAAGACGCTGCTCACCTTCCTGTGAACAACGGAGGCCCAAAGCTGCAGCTAGACGAGAAAATTTAACAGTCGTTTTAAATTCTGATTGGCTTCTAGGATGGAGCCCAGTATTGCTCTTCTTATTGTTAAACTAGACAAGGACAAATGTGTGTAATGTAAAGTGTCTTGCCCAGGGTCACTAGTCTGTGCTTGGGAAAGAACCATCCACTGCCCCACTGCAATAAAATATGATTGAAGAATCTTTATAAAGACGTTTTATATAAGTGGAAGAATCACACAAAATATGTAGACTAAATATAAGAATAATACTGAACTTAGTACATGCTTAGGCTAGTCCACTTTTGTGTTGTCTTGCCTGGAAATTTCTGCATGTGTTGAATTGTTTGTTTCAGTTTTCATGGGCAGTTAGACTGACTGTAGCTGATAATAAAATAAATGTATCATTATTAAATGATTCATTATTGCTCCCCGTCTGTTTGTTTGAAACACCGCTGATCTTGAGCTTCATCAGATCTATTTATCAGTGATCAGGAGCAACTTTCCTTCAGAGTGTGTCTGTCTGAGGAGCACTGTGAGAAGGGAGATGTTACGTATGAAGCTTTACCCTGCAGGATGCTCTTGGTCACGGGGCTGCTCGGTTCGGCCGCTCGGCTGTAGCGCTGATAGGCGCTCCTCCGCGCGGGGGCCGCACACCGGCTCACCCGCTTACCCTGAGACACAAGACACATAGAAGCATAAATATTTACAAAAACATAAATGGATAGAAAGTAGCGCTTAAATTATCTCTAAAATATCAAATCTAAAAGATACTTCGCCAAATCTACCAAAATGCCAAAGACGTTTTTGCTTTTAGAAAACATTAATTCCTAGTTTTCCCTTATTCCCTAATTAGCGACTGATGATTTTCAGATTGACTAAAAGTGGTTCCAAATCAAATCTAAGATAATCATTATTTGAGACAAACACCAATATTAGTCCTTAGTTTAGGGGGGGGGGGGGGGGGGGGGAGTAAACGTTTCTGGTCTATAATTAAGTTTAACATGTACAAAAAGGCATAGATTGCTTTGTTCCCAAACATGTTTTTTTAATGTAAAAACTAAGTGAGACGCTGCATGATGGTTTTATTCCTCTTCACTGACCTGTCCGTGCGCCCTCGCCACTTCTGCCGCTTGTTGCCGTCTGAGCGCGACCTGCGCGGCCATGACCCTCTGTCTCTCCACCACGAGCAGGCAGCACGCGCAGCGGCAGTCCCTCCAGCGGCAGAAGCGCTTGTGACCCTTTAAGCACGACACGACACCGTGGTTTCGGCACCGTGCGCACTTTGGGCTCCGGGTCATGGCGCGCGGCTTATGTGTCTCCTGCTGCGGGCACGGGGCTTCGCTGTTCTCCGCTTTAACCTCCGAAGTGGTCCCAGGGCTGCACCGTGCGTCATCGCTCGTCAAGTCGAGAGCGTCTTGAGATTTCAGGACGTGATGTTTTGCGGTTATTTCCAGCTGCGGGCCTCCTTCCGGATGAGAGGACATCTGTGAAGAATATGCCTCTTTAGCTCCCTGACGCATAAAGTCAAACATCAATTTTTACGCACGGATTCGAAGTTAAATTAGCTTTGAGTGCTCAGAAGAAAATACACATGAAAGATTCCACTGAACCTGGTTCACACTTTTTTTTTTTTTTTTTTTTTTTTTTTTGGTAAAACGCATCCGTTTTTTTATGTATTAGTTTAAAAAAATCTGGGGCAGCAGTCTAAGCAGGGACTCCCAGACCCCGGCCCCGGATAAGCGGAAGAAAATGGATGGATGGATGGATAGTTTAAAAAAAAAGAGAGAGATAAATAAACAATTAAGGCTTCTCTTTCATGCTGTAACCAGCACGCTGTAGACATGTAGGATTTACATATAGTTTATAAAGTAGTAGTTTTTAAAGTTATAAACATTAGCCTCTTCATTCTATAGAACCCAGTCTAAAGCACATGAAGTATTTACGGGATGGAAATTTCGCATACCGCAGTTGTTCTCAGTCCTCGTGCTCAGCTGCTGGTTCCCTGGAGAGACAAATGAACCACGATGCTGTCACAGCGCGTATCCCTGGACCCTCTCGCTAAAGTCCACATTGCCCAAATCCTACTCGAAGTAAAAGTAGCTCAGTAGTCTCCAGAAGTCTTTAAACACGTTACCTGCCCTGCCCACCTCCTCTGTCTCGTCTTACATCCAGACTCCCCAAGACCACACAGTGACACATTACTACGGCATGTGCCCTTTCATCCCTGCGCCGTGTTAAGGTTAACTGCAAACTATTAATAATAAGACGTCGTCGCACCAAGGCTAACTGAGGTAAACATCTTTATCAACAACAACTTAATTATTCATAACCCTGTTTTAATTGACCCACACTAATGGCAATGATCGAAGAATAAGTAAGAACTCTATAGGCTATAATTGATGAAGACACAAACTATACATATACTTACTTTTTCTCGTTCTGAAAAGCAGTGCGTAAACCGTGCGTAAAAGAAGGCCTATTTATGTATTATTTACTTGGACTCCTTACCATACCATCATTTATTGACTTTGCAGCACTGCGTAATTTTGTATATTCTTATATCCATCTTTCTTTCTTGCTTTCTATCACTCACTCAATCAATTAGTCATAGATTCTATTCCCACCTCTATTTAAGATTTGTTTTTGTATTCTGTGAGTCTCTAGCGTCTGACTTCTTAGAAAGCGTGCTCTCAAGGACTCAAATCCTGCCCCCTGCTGGCCACTTAGCGCAATGACACCACTACTGCTACTACTACTACTACTACTACTGCTACTACTACTACTACTACATCTCCTCCTATGCACAACCACTATTACTGCTATAGATACAACACACATGAATTGTTACCCATATTGCAAAAAAAATAAAAATAAAATAAAAATACACCCAACCATATGTATATATTTACAAAGAACCTTTTAATGTCATTTTATGTTGTTTCCAAGAAGTCCTTTAACTGGCTTTGGACTGCATACATGAATTGCAAGTACCTCTTTTCAATGCATTGATCCTATTGTGGATATTGTGGAGCAGTGCAGCTAAATCTTTGTGTGTTCAGGCTGGTGCTGTCCGGGCAGTGGTCCTTGGGGACAGCTTTCTTTGATATCCTCCGTCTGGCTTCTGTTGTTTGTGTCCTTTGATAAATCCGGGGTCACGCTTCCTGATGCTTTTGATGGGAGACGAGCCTGTTGCCATCAGCTCCAAATGTGACGCCGTCCTCCTGCAGACGTCGTCACCGCTGTGGGACACTTTCTTCACTTTTCTGCCCAAATCTGGAACAGCTGCTGGTTCTGAACTGCAGGCTTAAGTGTCACTGGGACTCATGTCGGTTTTGACCTTGTACAAGCTTTATGGATCACATTCTGTTTAGTTTATTTAGTTTAGTGCTTTGACTTAGACTTAGACAAACTTCATTGATCCACAAGGGTAATTATTTGGGCACAGTAGTAATATACAATAAAATATACAATAAAAAAGGACAAAAATATATATGGTAATAATATATTTCAAATAAGTTGCAAAAAAATTGTCAAATCAGGCATAATTATACAAATATATGTGTACAAGTAAAAATGAAATGTAAAAATATAGTAATGCAAAATACAGATTGTATCAAGTCACATTACATTTTTTTTTATGTTGAACAAACCTATTATGAAAAATGTTTAGCCTGCTCAATGCTGTATTACTTTCGGCTAGGTCAAGTGTCATGCTAAAAAATATTTAGATCTGGATGGGAAGCAAATCTGCAATAACCATGTTTCTAAATTCTTCAATGTTTCTCAGATTTCCATATGCACAATCTATGCTTTTAAAATATGATCAAATTAGTATTACAGAACTAGCACACAATATACTTTCTGTACTCATTTTTCAATTTTCTTTCTTTCATAATTTCATTCCTTTGCCTAGAATGTCCAGAATCTCCACGGACACAAGCTGGTCGTACAACTAGGTACAGTAAACAGATCTTGGCATGTAAGACTTTGACAATAAAACTGTGTTCCTGTCATGCTTCACGTTTTGTAGTCGTTTTTGCTCATTTTGGTGTAGCTTTTTCCTTTAGCATTGTGTACCGTTGATGTTTTATTTTGACATTTGTCTGGTTGTTTCTAGTTTTGAGTTTGACTTCCTGTCCAAGGGCGTAGGTTTGCATCGGGACGGTGAGGACATGTCATAACCAATATTTGGGGAAGACAAAATAGTCCCTACCAATATTTATCATTTTATTTTAATAAACAATATACATTTATTCTGATACTAGTGGTGCCAGGAGCCTAAACTGTGGAAGCAGCAGGACAGGGCCAGCACCTGAAGATGGCGGCTTGAGCAGGTGTGAGTGAAGATGCTGTGCACCAAACTTTGAAAAACTTTTCAAAAGGAACTTACTTGGCTTCATCGTCAATTAAACTTGCCTTATAATGAGTCTCCTCGGAAAAAGAGCAACTATCACCACAAGTGCACCTCCCAGACAGAGCCCGATTCTACTGACAATATTCCATGGAAAAATGTCTGGACATTACCTCACAAATATCTCATCACCAATAAGCAAAGAGGAATCTGCGACAAACTTCTACATCACCGTTATCCACTAAAGAATCATCTTAGAAGGACAATGGACACAAACTGTGCATTTTGCAAACTGAAAAATGAAACCACCTCTCACTTATTTTGGACCTGCCCAGACTCTGTGTGTTTTTGGAAAGAATTCATAAAACATATACGTACATAGCTTCTTATCCCGTTTTACCCTTTCTTATAAAGATGTGCTGTTTGGTTTTTGTAGTGTGCACATCATACTAAAGATAATATAATATTCTACGTGACCGTTTCTCCAGACTACAAACCTTTGAGCAACAAAATCACAATTCATTTTTATACTCATTTGTTTAATGTCATACTATTAACTTCAGCATGCAAATAAGCAGGTGGCAAATCTCTGACCAGAAAAGTTAGCATAAGTTAAAAATTACTGATCTGTGTTTTCACTTTTTTTTTTTTATAACAAAACTCAGCTTTCATCTCCACTGACAAAACACCGTGCTGTCCCAGTCTGCCAGAGTGGAGCAATGATGCTGCACCTGCCATTATGACAAAGAGCTGCTATTAAACATAATGTCACCAGAACATAAACACACGTGCATTACCTAAACCACCTCAGCTGTATCCCGTTGGAGATGAAACCAGCCAAATGATAGGACGCCTGTATCTCTCAGTCACATAATAGTCCGCATCCGGAGAGAAGCAGCGGTCTATGTAGTGTTTCTGCCAGGGTTGCAGAGCGCCCTTGACTCTCAGACAAATAGACTGGCATCAGCGCTGGCGTGGTGCTGCTGTGGCATTCCAGTCAGGGCTTGTTTTGATGCCCAAACCCCATTCTCTGACCCGCTAACAGTTTGGGCCCATCTACTTCCATTTGACTAGCCTCGATAGAGTTTGACAGATTCTTTGGGCTCCACCATTTTGTCTCGCCAGCATGTCTTCTTTCATCTGCCTCCTCATCGGTGACTGGTGACCTCGGTTTGTTTAGCGCAGCCTGATTTGCAGAAAAGGAAAAAGTTGTAAGATGTAAATAAAACAGAATGTAATGGTTTAACTGTTACGTGTAGTGTTCCAAAGTGTGTTTACATATCATGAATACAGACTATTTATACACTCTATCTTATTGTCCCTGTAGGGAATTACTGTATGTCCTCTACTTTAAACTAAAGTCTCAGTGGCAACGCAGCCACCTGTTCAAAGTAGTGGGTTTGTTATTCTGCATGTTTGAGGTTGATAGGGGAAAATAGAGTAACAAGAACACTCATTCAGACATTGGTTGCATAGTTAGGTTTAAAAAAGGCATTACAGACCGGAGTGAATCAATGAGTCCTTTCAGTACATAACAAGGTGCTCCTCAAGGTCAAGTTAGAAACATACACAGACACAGGAAAAACACGCAAGAATCAAACCCATGATTTTTTTGCTGCGAGGCACTAACCATTCAGCCATCAATGCTGATCCATAATTATGTCACCTTTAAATATTTATGTTAAATGAACCTTTACTTTAAGGTCCAAAAAGCTTTGAGCCATGTTGGAACGCTGTTATATCATCAAAAACATACCTGGAGTTGTTTTGTTTCATTCACGCATGTTTGAGTAACGCTTTCTCCAAAACTCAAAATGCTCTGTGCCACCTTGTGATGTCATGAAACTGCAGTATTCAAATTAACAGCTACTCCTGACATTTTATTCAGTACAGAGTGGTAATTCTAGGACTGAAATGATCCAAATTGTTCCAGTGAAGGTGAAATTGAAAACACAGTGGAGCACTTTCTGTATTACCACATGACATCACAGGGTGGAACAGTGTTTTAGTTTGAGACAAGAACTAAAATAAGCGGGTTTGTGAATGAAACAAAATACAACTCCAGGTATGTGTGAAGAATCCCTCAGTCGTCCAGGTAGAATCCAACAAAATTCAGTTTGTAGACTGGACAAAAGTTAGTGAGTATCTAACTTTTGTCCAGTCGACAAACTGAATTTTCTCCTCGCCAACTGCAGGTATGTTTCTGATGAGCAAACGACATTATAACATAGGGCCTGTTTACATGAGAATGCTTGCGAGTAAAAACGTCAAAATATTTGATCGGAAGTGCCTTTTGTTGGGGGCTTAAAAACACAAAAATCTGAAGCCACCGTCCAGAGTGGAAAAGTTGAATACGCTCCACCGTAGTGTTTCTGTCTACACTGCCCAAGACGAAAAACTCTGGTCAGGTCAGGTACGCGTTTACATCACATACATCACCACCTGACATCACCAAGTAGCCGCCTGGCACGCATACCCAGTCGAATTCCACACACTTTTGCGTCACCGTATGTATGCATATTTCCTCCTGAAAACGCTCAACTAAACGCAAAATAAAAAGTGAAGATGCGATCCTTCTTTTGCGTCTTCTGTTCAGACCGTCATCCTATAAACGTAGCCAAAGATCAGAAAACAGTGAAGACATTGGGCTTTTAAATAGATTATCTTACAAAAATTGTTTTAGATTAACATCAGTAATTA